TGTTATTATGTAGTATGTAAAGAAAAGCCCTCAAACTGTACTATATTGACAAATCTCTGAAATTAAGCTTAAATGAAACAACACTTCAATAAAAAAACACTTGAATATTGTATTTCAATTTTTAGATGTCACAAACAGTTAGTGGCATTAAAACATGCAAGCTAAAGCCACAAGATATTGTTAAAATCATATTACTGACCATGATATTATAAACTGCAGATGAGAGGAAATGATATATTAAAGACAATATTCACAAAGTTTAAAATTTGGGAAATGCCCCATATTTTAAGAGAGTCACCGATCCTACTTGTAAAATGAATGCCAGAATAATAAATACTTTAGCAGAACAGGCACTACAGTTTTGGTAGAGTTGCTAGTTCAGGATTGTCTCAAACTCTGAAGTCTTGGGGTCAAGATCTGAGACCACGGAACAGACCACGATGATGTCACTAAGTATTAAGTACCAAACACATTAAGTACATATGTATTAAGTACCAACCACAGTAATCCACAGATTGTAAAACACACACACATGCACACATTCATGCACAAACACACAATATTTTTGAAAATTAAGATAGAAATTAATGCTACAGGGCTGTTCCAAAATCAAGATATTTATTTTATTTATTTATCTATCGTGTAATCCGCAACCAGAACATTGTGTTACATTTCTAACAGAACAAAACAAACAAACAGATTAAAAAAAACCAAAAACACAAATTTTGCAAACTTGGTAGCTGATTAAATGTGCTTTGACCAGTATCTGGCCACTTGGAGTGCCTCTGGTGTTGCCACAAGAACGTCCTCCATGGTGCATGTGACAAGATAAAACAAGGAAGATTAGAGAGCTGGGATAAGGGAATTTAATCAATTCTATTTTATTGTAAGCATAAGATAGTTGTACAGCGAAGTGGATGGTGAGCTCTGGGACCACAGAGATAAGTAGGGATGGGAAGAAGCAAACTAAGTAAACACACAAACAAACATGGAAAGTCTTTGTAAGTTCCAGAAACAAATGATTTAATCCTTGCAAATTCCAGCAAGCTCCTGCTCTATTAGCTGAATTACAAATCTCAATATAATTAGAACTAGAATTCTGGAAAATTTGTACTCGTGCCTCCCACATGAAGACTGCCGGTATTGCACCACCTGACATCTGCTGGGAAGTAGCAACCAATAGTGAAAGGACCAAGGCAATGACATCTCCGGCCCATCCTCTGTTCCGATATCAGCCAGCATGCCAACGACTTAAATCAAGAAATCGTTTTCTAAGATCTACAGAGACACTCGCTGGAACACCTTAGCAAGCGAGAGTCCAAAAGTGGCAGGCTCAAACCCAGAACCTCAATCAATGGTTGATACCAAATGAGAGACGAATGAGCACAAAGAAAACTGGGCAACTTGGAAGGCACTGAACAGAGTGCGCTCTGACACCACGAGATGCAGAGCCAACCTTAAGAAATGGGGCTACAAAGTGGAATCCACAACATGCCAGTATGGAGAAGAGCAAACCACTTATCACCTACTGCAATGCAACCTGAGCCCTACCACATGCACAATGGAGGACCTTCTTGCAGCAACATCAGCGGCACTTGAAGTGGCCAGCTACTAGTCAAAAGGTTTTTAATAGAATGCCAAGTTTGCAAACTTTGTGGATTTTTTTTAAACCAATGCAACTGTTTGGTTTGCTCCTGACACGATAAATATTGACTTTTAAAGATCAGCATCTCTTCTTTCCTCTACTGTGCTTTAAAATGCTCTGGTTAAGAGTTTAAAAAGGCTTTTCCCTAAAATGTTAATATATACACATCTCAATGCCCTTGTCCAGTGCATGTGGCAAGTTTCCTTTGAGACATTACAAAAAAAGACAGTCAATAGAATACGTGAGTATACCACACACCATGCTATGGCAACTCCTCCAATGTTTGGTCCTAATTCTTGTTTTCCACTAATGCTGCTCAGAGAAATTAATTTCCAGCTCTTTTCCACTTCTTCTTCCGGTACTTATAAGATGCATTGTGCAAAGTGAATACAGTATAGTCAGTACCTGTGGTTTCATTTATCCACATCCAACAAAACACTACCTATCTAGACATCTTGTGCCAGAAAATGTTCATTTCAATTGCATTTGCTTTTCTGCAGTTTTGTGTATCCACACAAAATCTGGAAATGCATTCCCCCATGGATACAAGGATGATGCTATAGAACAGTGGTTCTCAACCTGGGGTCCCCAGATGTTTTTGGCCTACAACTCCCAGAAACCCCAGCCAGTTTACCAGCTGTTAGGATTTCTGGGAGTTGAAGGCCAAAAACATCTGGGGACCCCAGGTTGAGAACCACTGCTATAGAACGACAAATCAACAACATGAGCATGATATGATATATAAAACATTTTATAAAGTAAAATAGCATGAAGCTACTCTGAAAACTACTTTATGTTGTGCAAAACCAATCAATTCTATTGCACCAGAATATCTGGTCATTTGAGGGCATCAGTGCTACAAAACAGGTTATGACACAAATCTTTTATCACATTCAAATAAATGAGACATCTATTGGGAAAATAACTGAGGAAAAAATGGATTAAGATTTGTTCCAGTGGGAAAAGTACCTAGATCAAGAGCACAGCTTCATTAAGAACAATTACAGCCTATGAAGGTGCTTAATTGGTTTTCTCCAGATTATGATTAAAGTGCCTGTGAGCTGTTAATGCAACCTAGAAACATCAGTTTCATAATGTTCCATGAAGATTACTAAGGATATCATGTTTAGGCCAAAAGAAAACAATCCAGAGATTTAACACTCACCCTGCCCTGCTCAACAGTTGAAATTTGCTTTAACTAAAACTACCGTGTCAAAAACACTGAGGTTGCTGCCAATACCAAGCATGCTCAACCACCTGCTAGAGTCTCAATTTTGAACTAAGGTATATCACTAAAGTTTGCCTTGTGCCTACTAAGCATGTGTGTGATCCATAAAAAAAGGTTTCTAAACTCCTTCCAAAAATAGGAGGCGCTGGCACTTCGTTTCTAAAGTCTTTTTGAATTTTTGGTGGTCAAAATTTTGGAACTCTAATGAAACTTACAACAACAACAAAACTTTATTACGGTCAATGACCAGCACAAAGCGGGGCACAAGCGTTGCTTCTCAGTCTTTTGGCTAAGATCAAGTGTAGTAATGAAACTTACGAATCTTCGTAAGTACTTTATTAATGGCACTCGCGATTGCGCAATAGGGAAAACATCACTGTCAGTGGGGAAACTTGAGGGACTTCTCTCATCCTCATTTTTTGAAATTTGCTACAGTGGTAGAACACATTTACCACAGTTAGTCACCAAATTTCAGAACGTTTGACTTTTCATAACATTAAAAAAAACTACAAGAGCTATTTACTTGAATTTTATACACAATGCACAAGATAACAAGGGCATCATCTCCGGAAGTTGCAGAAAGATTCACGCATTTACAGATTTTTGGAGATTTTTAAAAATTTAGACGAAAACAATACTACCCCCCCCCCCCAAAAAAAAGCAACAACAGCAATCCCCTTGAATATCTGTCTGTCTTTATGACACACAACCACATAACTTCAATTTAGCACAGATACTATTACTTACTTTAGTCCTTTTTGCAGATATTTATTTTGTTTAGACTAACTGAATGCAACTGCGAGGCCAGCCACCACTTGGGTCCTACAGCCTCATTTGAGTCTTTAGCAGTTTTATATTCTGGGAAATGTAGTTTATGGCAGGGCCTTTTGAAATTCTCTACCATTGGGGGTCTGGCCTTTCCAACTTACAGTTAAAATGACTTTGATTATTCACACACACAGTTCCCTTCCTTATGGTGGTGCCGACGAGGAATAAGATTTAAAAAGCACTTTATGTTATCTTGTCTTTACCAAAGTTGCTTAATGGTTATAGTGAAAATTAGACCTTGGGAGACATCCGAACGTTACAGAACATTTACAAAAAAAATTGGTAAGTGATTCAAATTCAAATTCAAATTCTAAGTCCCCCCACAACCTTTCCTGCATGATTCAGAAATACCTTCGTATGCACAAATTTAACGAATCAGATATGAGTTCAGATTTTTATTCCGAATTATGCACCAGCTTAGTGCTACATTTAAAACATTCAAGGTCTGTGGGTCTAGGCAGTACTCTCTGTTTGGATTTAGCCCAGAGTTTTAAACAGTTACTTTATTGAATTTCAATTCTTAGAATATCCTAGCCACCATATCTACAGGCTCAAGTGACTATGGGATTCTGGCATTCGTCACCCAAACAGTATTGTTTCCAAGGTCTGGATTACCTACCATCAGAGGCGGCCCTAGGTAATTTTCAATGGTAAGCAAACGGTATTTTGGCGCCCCCTCCCCAACCAATCATTGATATATATTTTCTGTTCGTCGTGGGAGTTCTGTGTGGCATATTTGGTTCAATTCCATCATTGGTGGAGTTCAGAATGCTCTTTGATTATAGGTGAACTATACATCCCCGTAACTACAACTCGCATATGTCAAGGTCTATTTTCCCCCCAGAGCGCCTCAAGAGCGCCCCTGGGCAAAATCAACTATACTGCAAATGCTTACTTTGCATAATGGGTTGAGCCGCCCTTGCCTACCATTTAAATTTCCCATTGTGTTCTGGATCTGTCATTACAGTAGTACTTGATAGGTAGGAAGAAATACTTTAATTTACAGCAATGCCCTGACAAAATGCTTTCTAGGGGTACTGTAGGAAATTATAATGGATGCTAAAATTGATCACCTTGTGCCACAAAAAGTATGGCTTTCCCATTATATGAAGCCATTGAAAGGGTAAGTGGTACTACTAGAACCTGTTTTATGTATGACCTCTCATACCTAGGGTGACTGACTGTGCATGAGTAGAAGATAAAGAATACTTTCATTCATCATTCATCCATTTTGACCATCATTTTCATCACAAATGGAAACCATACACAGAAAGAGTAAAAAAAAAGTCCCCATCCTACCTCATTGAATCTTGTCACTAGATCTTCAACAGCATTGTGTTCCCCATTTGGAGCCGAAAGAAGCGTTGCAGAAATGGAAGCTTTAATAGTTGAAAGTTTGTTCTGGCACTCCGCATTCCCCAAATCTCTGGTTAAGAAGCAGAGGTAGTCAATGGGCAGTACTTTTCTGTAAAGATCCTGCTCTTGCTCAGTCAGAATACTAGCAACCTCCTCGGGAAACTGAATGAGATGCTGCAGGTCTACAAGCTCTTTGCTGATACCAGCAACAGCAGAAGTAAGGGCATTTGATCCAGCCATAGATGAACTCAATTTTCGTTCTAAAACAAAGAAGACACAAAATCATAATTAGCTAGTGTTTCCCCAATGTTACCAAAGTCTGTGAGAGACATTTAACAGGCGTCCCAGATCCAGAACCATGCCAACCACCAGCACCCCAAATGTGACAAAATGACACTTGACAGAAGATTAGTTATATAAGAACACAATAGTTCTTGTGTCAGTTCTTATTGTACTTTTATTAGTATGAGGGATAATGCTCAGAAACTACTATAGTGTATATGGGGAGCAGAAAGCTAAATATAATCAATTTTCCATTTTTATAAGGCAAAGGCATAAGACCCTTACAAAAGTGGAAAAACCATAAATATCTTAAGCCCCCGGAAACCGTGTGCCTGTCCCCATACAGGGATCATCTTGGCCTGAATAGTCCTTTCCCTTGTTTTTTCTTAGATGCAGGGTAGCAGAGCAAAAGGGACCAATCCTTATTTTGTACAGCTGGCTCTCTCTTATTTATTTTTCCATTTCCCTGGAAAGCAGCCTGACCTGGGTAAAACACAGAACCAAATGCTACTTTTCCTTGAAGCTACTGGCTGGGTGCGGAGCTCCCGGTGGCACGATGGGTTAAACCGTTGTGCCAGCAGGACTGCTGATCAAAAGGTCGGTGGTTCAAATTTGGGGAGTGGAGTGAGCTCCGGTCTGTCAGTTCCAGCTTCCCATGTGGAGACATGAGAGAAGCCTCCCACAGGATGGTAAAACATCTGGGTAATGTCCTTGCAGACATCCAATTCTCTCACACCAGAAGCGGCTTGCAGTTTCTCAAGTTGCTCCTGGCATGGAAAAAAAAGTGTGGGATGGGTGAGGTTGAGTTGGTAACTGTGGACTGAGAAGCCCTGGCCCTCTAATGCCACCTTCATAGAGATGTCTCTGCTCAGTCCTACCACTTGTACACAGGAGGAAAGAGAAACAGGGGTAGAGGATGGAGGGAACAGCCAGGGGATGGCCATGGAGGCTGAATTAAAGCTACAGTGACAACAAATAATCCATGAATAATCACATCCCCTGGCTGTGCCCCTCCATCCTCTGAAAGCGAAGACCATGAGTAAGTCACTCCAGCCATGCCTGTCAGCCAATCAATAGATACCGGAGTTTAAATTCATTGGCTGGTGATTCCTGTTTCTTCCCGGGGTTGCACCAAGCCACATGGGCCTATGGGAGTCAGAAGCTTATGGGCAGCCATGCCAGAGGGGACTGCCAATGCTGTGCTCCCATCCCACCTCACAAATTCACTATCCAGTAAGTTGTGCAGTGTTCTTATCTTACAGTGCTACGTGTTGTCATAATTGTGCGGTGTGTGGACATAGGAGACAAGCCTCTTTCCTTTTTGATTCAAACTCTATAATGATGTAATAATTATCCTTCCTATCACATCACAATATACTCAGACTCCTTCTTTTTAGTTATACAAGCAAATTATAAAATTGTCACAGTCCCTTTACAAAACAAATTTCCCCCATATATTCTCATAATAAACTGGTGAAATTCAGAGGAAAGCATGCACCCCATACATCTTCCGCGTGTATCCTCTAAAACACTGAAACTAGGCAACATCATAGACAAAACAGGCCCACATAATTTCCCAGGGCCTCCAAGTTGAGGTCAAGTCAATCCAGAGCCCTTACTTTACTAGTCATTTAAAGACAATTTTAATAGGTTGGCTGTGCCACCGGAAAAAAAACATCACCAGTCTGAAGCCAATACACCCCATTTTCCTCCCTAAGAATTCACTGGGGCTTCAGCAAAGTGTAGGGGATTTGTGGAAAAGAAATGGGGGAAAGACTAGTGACTCAAGACTGATGCTTTACTTTGAGCATACCAAAGGTTTTAAAAGAATATACAAATGAGGAAGGCACCAAGAAATGTCTATGGTTGAGAGACATGTGCTACTACCACATAGGGAATGCTTTTTCTTAAAGCTTTTTCCAAACCTGTAATAAGATTAATTTCAATGAACGTTGGCATTAAAAAAATCCAGAAAATCTGCACACCAAAAAACCTCTGCAATTTACTTATTAATTATAAATCACCACCCATTATCAAGTCAGGCTAGTACAGTTCTCCCCACATACACACAAAAAGTATGCACAGTGTTCCCTCACTTATTACAGGTGGTACGATCCAGGACCACCCACGAAAAATGAAAATCCGCTAAGTAGAGACACTATATTTATTTTAATATTTATACATTATTTTAGTAGTTATACACTATTTTAAGTCTTTATAAACCCTCCCCACACACTTATACACTACATAACCCTCTTTGAATATAACCCTTCATTGTCGTCATCCTCCTCTTCTAGTTCACTGCCATCTTGGTCCTCCATTTTCTCTGCCATGCGATCATAAAGTTGCTTGGCTTTAGTCCTACTACGCACATGCGACAGTCTGATGCTAACGTGAAATGGAAGAGCGGAGAGGGGTAGCTGCACATGATATTGTTGTTTTACTGAGTATCGCAAAAAAATCCAAAACAGCGAAAAGACTGCAATAAATATATGAGATTAATATTTATTGAAAACCCGTAAAACAGCGAATCCACGAAAAACGAACCACAAAGTAGCGAGGGATTTCTGTAAGTGTCAAAAAGTTAACAGTAAAAACCAGTGATACCAGATTTTAGTTCCCTGCCTCTTCTTTGGATGCATCCAGCACAGTTCAAGGACAGAGCTCCATCAGAAGTAGTTCTATGTCGTTTGATTGAATCCAGCGGGCTCCATCCCCGAACTGTGCTGGATGCGTCCTAGGATGGGTAAAAACCTCAATGTGATGAGGTTCTTCAAGTATTAATACCCCACACCTTACAATTTGTTAATTTGAGAGGAACAGAAAAGTTGTGGTTTAGGGGCTGCTTTCTCACATTCACCCAATTCTCCTCAGGTCGCAAACAAAACTATTCAAAGCTTAAACAGTGTTGACTTCCATTATTGGTTGATATCTCAAAAACAAATACCAATCCATGAACAATATGGAGGGGAGGGGAGGCCCAAAATACAGACCAGAAGTTACTTTGAGTTCTGTTTTTAGATGGTTTATGTAAATCTAGCCCTTCAGAGGTGGGAAGCCCAATCCCACAACCTCTGCCGCCACACCATTTGCTTTAAATGCTGGAGAAACCCAGAGAAGGACACCTGAACATTAGGCAAATGTGAGGGAGACTAACATATGCACTCGAGCTTCATCCAGACAGAACTCTAAGATACAAGTCAGGTTGCTGTTCTTGTCTAAGATTAAGTTCTGGGTAGTGATTGTTTTGCCATTCACTATCCTGGAAATCACCAGCGATATTTTCAACTAAGTGAGACTGTTAACAATGTAGTGTTTCTAGGAGAGGTGATTTAAGGCAACCCGCTCTCCCATGATAGCTCAACTGTTTCCTGTTTCCATATCTCCCTCTGCACTGTATTATTGCCACTGCTCTTCCCTGGTTCCCATCATCTTCACTCCTACACTTTTAGAAAAGTTCTTTCCAAGAGGTCTAATAATGCACCTGGTTTCCTTTGGTTTAAGTGGACTCCACCTCTTTTCTACATGCTTGTCTTGCCCCCAAAACATTGCTCAGCAATTAACAAATCTAAATCCTTCCTGAGCAAGCCACTATCTCTTGGTCTATCTTACCACACACATTGTTGTGAGGATGGAATTAAAGTTTCGTAGAACAAACGGGCCAAAGAATTCTGAAGATCTTCAAAAACAATGCTTTTATCTTGCACTTGAAATGGTACTGTTTGTCCTCACACAACTGTACCTTCAAGTCATTTCTGTGATGAAAATCAAAACATTGGGAGGAGTTATAGCCCTGTCTCTTTGCACGTTAATAGACAAAGGCAGTATAACAGCTCACTGAAGGAAAACAGTGGTGGTATCAGGCCACATCTGAATATGAATGAATCCACTATATTTAAGGTTACAGTTGTAACAGAAGTTCTTGGATCAGGGGTGAAAGGGAAAAAAACAGAAAGTCGGGAATTTAATAAGTAACAAATTTGGGCATATAGGGTTTCTACTTAAATTGAACACGTTATTCGTTTTATGGCTTTGTTAATGTTATTAAGTGATTATACCCAAATGTTTGGAAACAACCCAGCCAGTTATGCAAATGGGGCAACCACAAATAAATAAACAAATAAATAAACAAATCCACCATTTCCACATTTGTTTGTTCCACCTAGGATTATTTTAATCATTTTGCATTAAACTATAAGAACTTCTTTTCAAGAGAGGGTAAAAAAAGCAGAGAAAAAAAATGTTTTGCTTTCAAAGCAAGTCTCATCTGATCCACTCAATGTACTCATTCAGCTCAGTCCATCCAAGATTCAAAGTATATTTTTCAGGAATACAAAATCACATTTTTAAGTTTGCCATCATGCTTAATCAATACTGAAATAAAAATCTTCCCAGAGGCAAGTTGTGAGAAGACTCACATGGCAACTGTACGACTTGTCCTGTTCTCCATCTAAACTTTCTGACAAATGGCAGAGCCTGAGGGTAATAATTTCATATCCAGCCTTTTCTTCCTGCTCCTGTCACACTTGCTTCCTTGCTTGCTTAATATCAAGCCAGAATTTAAAAATATATTGACCATAATATTTGTTTATGATTTCCTTAGGTTTGGGTGAGCTCTAATAAGAGTAGTATTGTCTGTGATTTTGTTGTTGCTTTTCCTAATGGACCAAATCTCCTGTGGTTTTTTTTGCTACCATGACAAATCTGTCATACTGCCTAAAAGGGGTTGAAATAATGTAAACACATGACCTACTCTGAAGAATATGTGCTTGTTGTCAAGAATTTTCTCTGATCTATACATTTCTGGAACTGGTAGTGCCACAGACCTACTGCTTTAGTCATTTTCAGCATGCTTGCTCCACTCCATCAATGTTTAACATTTTACACAAATGATCAGCCATTTCCAGAAGGGACAGAGAGTTTCATCTATGCTGATGATTGTGCCATCACCATTCAAGCAGGGAGCTTTGAATAGTTG